CTGGACTTGGAGCTGAGCTGCGCCCTCCACAACTAAGATTGAGGGACAACTTGACTTGGAGCTGATGGGTCCTGGAAAAACACAATGTTCCCCTTTCCCAATTCCCCAATAAAAATCTTAAAAAAAAAAAAAAAGTAGCTGCTAAAGACTGAAATTAGTATAATAAAATGTTAACAGTAGTTATTTCTGGTGGTAGAATTATCAATGATTTATTTTATTCTTTGTCCCTTTCTGTATTTTTAATAAGTCTGTGCTAATTTTGTAACTTTTTAAAAAGTTAAAGTTTCAATTCTTGACAATTTTCTAAGTAAGCTGATGGCTATAACTGTAGGCTAACGAAATCTCCTTTTCCATTATTTAAGTCAGTTCCTATCCCACAGGTCTTTTCCTTTGCTACAAACTTTAAGATGACAATTCAGACATTTATAAAATGCCCCCATAGATAGCTGCCCTCATAGAAACCCTCTGGTTCGAAGGTTCAGTGTAACATATACACATGTGGTCCTGGTCCACAATTACCTAATAAGGTATCCTTGTTCAATCATCAGTGGAAATGAAGATCAAATATTTACACATTATCCCTTTTCAGAATGTAACTAACAGCATATTTGTACCAGATTCACAGGCAGTTGTTTAAAAATATAGATTCCTGAGCATTACTCCTTATCTACTGAATCAAAATCACTACCTAGGATCCATAAATCTTCATGCTTAAGCAGCCTTCCCATGTGGGTCTGCAGTTTGCTAAAATTTGAAATCCTCCATTACCACTACTTTCCTACCAACTACGTAATCCAAACCCTTTACTTGTACATGTGTACTAGCCACATTAACTTGTACTTGGAAAAAATAAGAGTGCAACTCAGTATACAAGGTCTGACAATTAAGTTCACGAACTTGTTGCAACGATGTTGCTAACCTTTTTTAATATCAGAGGGGTTATTCATTATGAATTTGTACCAACTGGATAAACACTGAACCAAGTTTACTATTTGGAAGTGAAGAGGCTGCGTGAAAAAGTTAGACGCCCTGAACTTTTCGCCAACAATTCATGGCTCTTGCATCACAAAGCACCAGTTCACACGGCACTGTCTGTGAGAAACTTTTTAGCCAGTAAACAAATAACTGTATTGGAACACCCTCCCTACTCACCTGATCTCGCCTCCACTGACTTCTTTCTTTACCCAAGGATAAAGGAAATATTGAAAGGAAGACATTCGGATGATATTCAGGATATCAAGGGTAATACGACAGCTCTGATGACCATTCCAGAAAAAGAGTTCCAAAATTGCTCTGAAGGGTGGACTAGGCGCTGACAACGGTGCAAAGCTTCCCAATGGCAGTACTTTGAAGGTGACTGTAGTGATATTCAGCAATGAGGTACATAGCACTTTTTCTAGGATGAGTTCGCAAACTTAGTTGTCTGACCTCGTAAGTTCCACCAAATTTTAGACCTTTTAGCCACTAGACTGTATTTTCCTACTTTTAACACAGGTTAAAACCCAAAGGTTTCCAAATGTAATTTTAAAAGAATTTATAACTTATGTGGTACCGTAAGTTTTTTTAATGTATAAAACTGGACTTAAACATACAATTTTTACAAAACTCTGCAACAATACCTTTTTTCTGTATGAAAATTTAGTACATATAAACAGTTCATTCAAGCTTACTTCACTTTCCAGTTTGCTAGAGTTTGAAGCTTTCTCTAGCAGCTCCTCTTGAATCAACTGAAACTGACTCGTTCTGTGGGCCATGTTAACCTTCAAATCAGAATTCTCAGTTTCTATTTGCATCAACTTAGTACGTAGTTCTTCTATTCCAAAAGCAAGTCTTTGTCTTTCTCTTTCATATTGCTTGTTCACAGTATGTTGACTTTGATCTTTTATACTTGCTGCCAATAAATATAAAAGGAAAATTGTTCCATATAAACTTGAAGGAAAAAAAACGTATCGCAATGTTGAAAGATTTAATCATAAACAAAGTTTAGTTTCCGATCTAAAGAATACTAAAGGGATGGAGAATGAGACTTACATTAAGGAAAATGTATAAAGGTACATTGTAAGTAAGTCATTTCCTAAATTAAATATATAGCAAAATGGAAATAAGTTCTGAATCACTCACTTTTCTATATTTCCTTCATACCAGAAAGACTCTTCTTTTATAACAGAGAAAGCACTTCTCAACCTTTAAAAATTCCATTTTTTGGGATAGAAATCATTGTAAAAAAAAATATTAATTGTTTAAAAAAACCCAAACCTTGTCCTGTCTCCTTAACTGAACTTAATCCTAAAATTTATTTGGATAACTTGAGATCATTAAGAATATTTTGATATATTAAAAAACTGAAAATAGTGATTCCCAGTCCAAATTAACTGATGAGAATTCAGCGATACTTTTAATAACTGCTGAAGGTTATCTTAGAGGTTGTTGTTTGCGTATACCTCTTCTCCACGATAAACGTACACACCTGTCCCCACCTCAAGGTAACTGAACTTTCAGGAGTGCTTTAAAAAGGCATAATGTATATGATTGCATGAGAACACACAGATGTGGAAACAAGTAGCAATGTACTATGGCCTTAAGGGTTTCACAAATAGCCACTTCCCATCAATTCTTCATATCATTAATATTTCACTTTCTACACTATTGGCTTTACTTTTCAATGTTAGAAAATCTATGACATATTATATTCATCACCAATTCTAATAACTGGCATTCCCTTTGCTAATCCATCATTCTAATAACTCAGATATTTAATTTTCTCTGCTGTCATTTCTATTGCTAGCAGTCCATTATTTGAAAATAGACTGATAAGTTAAAGATGCATATGTTAACCACTAAAAAAAAAGAGGTATAGTTAATCAATAGTAGAGATTAAAAATTGGAATACTAAAATATACTTCATCCAAAAGAAGGCAGGAAAGATGAACAAAGGCCAATAGAGTAAATAGTAAACAAATACCAAGACGGTAGATTTAAACCCCAAAAGATTGACAGTTACATTAAATGTAAGTGATCTAAACATGCCAATTGAGGAGCAAAACATGTCTAACTGGTTATAAAAGCAAAAACTAATTATTGGGTTGTTGGAAAAGTCATGACACTTGTTTGTGATACATGGCACTAGTTCATTTTTGCAAGTTCTAGAGTCATTCGCATCTATGTTATTGCTATGCCATTTGACAGCTGACAGTTCTAGCTTCATTCTAAAAAAAAATTAAGAGATTTTGTTGAGTTTTGGAGATTTTACAACAAGTTGAAGATGGAAGACCAAACTGTGCATTTTTGCCATATTTTACTGTTTTACTTCCATAAAGGGAAGAATGCGCATCAAGCTTGTGAAAAGTTGCATAAACTTTACAGTGACAATGCTCTATAAGAATGTCAGTGCCAACGATGGTTCACAAAATTCCGTGCTGGTGATTTTGATCTCAATGACGCTCCTCGGTCAGGGAGGCCACCGAGGTTGATGACGACAAAATAAAGGCATTGATTGAGTCAAATCCACGTTACATAACACGAGAGATTGCAGGAACATTGAACATCCATCATTCAAGTGTTCACGACCACCTGAAGAAGCTGGGATACATAAGCAAGCTCAATATTTGGGTTCCACATGAACTCAAGGAAGTTCATTTGACGGCGTGTATAAACATCTGCAACATGCTCATTAAATGTGAGAAAAACAATCCTTTTTTGAAGCAACCGACAACTGGTAGATGATAAGTGGATTGTTTACAACAATGTGGTGCGCAGTCTTGGTCCCGACGTGATGATTCGCCTCAAACAACATCGAAAGCAGACATTCATCAGAGGAAGGTTATGCTCGCAGTGTGGTGGGATTTTAAAGGTGTAGTGTTTTTCGAGCTCCTACCAAGGAACCAAACAATCAATTCGAATGTGTACTGTCAACAATTGGACAGTATGAACAAATCCATCATCCAGAAATGTCCAGAGCTTGTTAACTGTAAAGGAGATGTGTTCCATCACAACAACGTGAGACCACACATAAGTTTGATCACCCATCAAAAATTATTGGAGCTTGGATGGGATGTGTTGCCACACCCACCATACTCGCCTGACCTTGCGCCATCAGACTTCCACTTGTTTCTCTCTCTTCAAAACTCCTTGCGTGGTATAACGTTCAATTCAGATGAGGCTGTCAATCAGCACCTTGTTCAGTTTTTCACAAATAAAGATAGGTCCTTCTACGAATGAGGAATTACGAAGCTCACTGAAAGATGGCCAAATGTTATCAAACAAAACGGGCAATATATCATTGATTGATCTTTGTTCTTTATATAAATAAATGACCTTTGAAAAACACAGACAAAATACATCATGACTTTTCCGACAACCCAATATATGCATTCTACATGTATAAGAAACTCATTTATATATAAAAATACAGGTTAAAAGGATAGGAAAAAGTCATACCAGGCAAACACTAATCAAAAATAGCTGAGTGACAAACTATCAGAAAGAGAAATTAAGAAAATAATCCCATTTACAATCAATTCAAAAACAATACAATAACTAGGAATAAATTTCATCCTGAAGGTAAAAGATCTGTACACTGAAAACTATAACAATGATGAAAGAAAGTGAAAGCAAAAAAAAAAAAAAAGAAGATATTTCATGCTTATGGATTGGAAGAATTAACATTGTGAAAATATCCATAATATCCACAGCGATCTATAGATTCAATTCAACTCCTATCAAAATGCCAATGGCATTTTTCATAGAAATAGAACAAACAATCCTAAAATTTGTATGGAACCACAAAAGGCTACAAATAGCCAAAGCAATCCTGAGAAAAAAGAAAGCTTAGAGGCACGATGTGTCCTGATTTCAGACCATAATCCAAAGCTATAGTAATCAAAATAGCATGGTACCAGCATAAAAACAGACACATAGATCAATGGAACATAATAGAAAGTCCAAGAATAAATCCATGCATACATGACAAACTAATTTATGACAAAGGGGCCAAGAATACATAGTGAGAAAAAGATAGTCTCTTTAATAAATGGTGTTAGAAAAACTGGATAACCACATGAAAAAGAATAAACTGAACCACTATCTTATACCATGAACAAAAATCAAAATGGAATTGAAAATCTGAACACAAGACCTGAAACCACAAAATTCCTAGAAGAAAACAGGGGGTAAGCTCCTTGACATCGATCTTGGCGATGATTTTTTTGGATTTGACTCCAAAAGCAAAAGCAACCAAAGCAAAAATAAATAAGTAGGATTGTATCAAACTAAAAAGCTCTGTACAGCAAAGGAATCAATCAACAAAATGAAAAGGCAATCTATGGAATGAAACAAAATATTTGCAAATCATACATCTAATAAAGGGTTAATATCTCAAATATATAAAGCACTCACACAACTCAATAACAAAAAAACCAAACAATCCAATTTAAAAATGGACAGAGGATCTGAATAGACATTTTCAAAAGACTTACACATGGCCAACAGGCACACGGAAAGGTGCTCAACATCCATAATCATCAAAGTAATGAAAGTCAAAACCACAATTATCACCTCACACCTATTAGAATGGCTATTATGAAAAAGACAAGAATTAACAAGTGTGTTGGCAAGAATTTAGAGAAAAGAGAACCCTTGTACACTGTTGGTGGGAAGTAAATTGGTGCAGCCGCTATGGAGAATAGTATGGAGGTTCCTCAAAAAACTAAAAATAGAATGGTCATATGACCCAGCAATTTCACTTCTGAGTATTTATTTGAAGGAAACTAAATCAGTATCTTGAAAAGATATCTGTACTCCTATGTTCATTGCAGCATTCTTTACAATAGCCAAAACATGGAAGCAACCTAAGTACCTATCGACAGATGAACAGATAAAGAAAATGTAATATATATTAAAAAAAATGTAATATATAGATACAATGGAATATATTCAGTCATAAAAAGGACATCCTGCCATTTGTAACAACATGGATTGACTTTAAGGACGTTAAGCTAAATGAAATAAGTCAGACAGAGAAAGAAAAATACTGTATGATCTCACTTATTTGTGAAATCTAAGAAAAAACTGAACTCATAGATACAAAGAACAAATGGTAGTTGCCAGAGGTTAGGGGTGGGGCAAGGGTGTGTGAAATGGGTGGTCAAAAAGTACAAACTTGGAGTTATAAGATAAATAAGGACTGGGGATATAGTGTACAGGGTGGTGACTACAGTTAATAATACTGTATTGTATATTTGTAAATTGCTGAGAGTTGATCTTACAAGTTCTAGTAAGAAAAAAAGTCTGTAACTATATGTAGTGATGGATGTTGACTTTGGTCATCATTTCGCAATACATTGTATGTACATATATCAAACCATTATGTTGTACACCTAAAATTAATACCATGTAATATAGTGTTATACAGTGCTATAATTGACTGTATGTCAATTATTGCTCAATAAAAAATAGCTGGACTGGCTATATTAACTTCAGACAAAGCAGATTTCAGTCTAAGAAATATTACCAGGGATAATAAGAGACATTTACTATAATAATAGGGTCCATTCAACAAGAAGACAATCTTAAATGTGTATGTACATATCTTCAAAATATCACAAGAAAAGACTGACAGAACTAAAAGGATAAATTAAGAAACCCACATATAGAGCCTACTGAGTGGCTCAGTTGGTTAAGAGCTCGCTCAAGAGTGCGAGCTCTGAGCAACAGCAGTTCTATTCCCAGCCCGAGCTGAGTTGCTGCTGAGCTGCCAACAGGTAGCAGGATGGCTCAGCTTAAAAAAAAACCCACATATAAATCTGCAGCTTTCAACACTACTCTCTCAGTAGTTGACAGAGCAAGTACACAGAAAATCATTAGGGACAAAGACAACTAACAACACTATCAACCAATTTAACACAATTGACGTTCAAAAAACACTCCACCCAATAATTACCGAATATACAATTTTTTCAAGTGCATCTGGAACATTTATCAAGATAGAACAAATGCTGGCCAATAAACTAAGTCTCAAAACATTTTTTAAAATTAAATCAGGTTCATTCATGAATTAAGTTGTTTAATGGAAATGATCTAATGTCTACCACTAATAACACAAAGATATCTGAAAAATCCCTAAATATTTGGAAATAAACACACAGCAGAGATATACATTTTGAACTGAATAAAATGAAAACACAACATACATAAATTAGTGTGACAAAGCTTCAATAAAGCAAACTTTTAAAGACTGATGCAAAGTTCAAGAATTTTGAAATAATTTTTGCTCTTATCAGCCCATAACTTGTAATAACCCATAACTAGTAACTATTAACCCATAACTAGAAATAATTTTTGCTGTCTTATCAACCCAAATATTTAGTATGTCTGATAACAGAAACCAGTTGATAATCCACTTCTTTAAAAAATATATAATTTGTTAAAAGAATGTTAATTTATCTGATCATAATTTATTAATAGAATTCAGTATAATATACTCACCTACTTGACCATCTCCTGGTTTTATAGGTTCTGTTTCTAAACGATTTAATTTGCCACTTTCTTTGTTGTCACTATGAGCAATAAGACTGTGAGATAACTGATTCGCAGTCAGATTTGCCTGAAGCTTTTGAATTTCTGCCTCTTTTATTGCAAGCTTAATCCTAGAAAAGAAGTAAAAAATTATTAGAAAGATTCTGTAAAAATATCTCATATCATTTTGACCTTACAAGATGGTAAACATTTTAAAACTCTGATATTAGTCAGCTATTGGGCAGCATATGCAAACTCTTATAAACCAAATGGACTGTAAACTGGTTCAGCTAGCTTAGAAACTTGGTAGTACCTAGTAAAATTGAAAATGTACACACATGATGCAGCAATTTCACATTTAGGAATACATACTAGAAAATTTCTCACATACTGTAGTTGATATGTATAAGTATATACTTTGCAGCACTGTTTGTAATAGAAAACTAGAAACAAGGTAACTATGAATAAAGGCATAAATATATTGTGACATAGTTATAAGATAGACTGCTATACAGCAATAAAAACTAAACTAACCACACTAATCCATGCATTCATTAATTACTCTATCTCAACATAAAAGGATTTTTTAAATGATGCTAAGTGAAAAGGCAAAATTACAAATAATATAAACATACAGTATATTTCTGTGTATGAGTGTAAACATACACAAAATGAAGAATATGTACCCAATTCATGATAGTGGATACTTAGGAGGAGAACAGGACCAGTAGTAAGAATCAAAATATATTATCTATCCTGTAATGTTTTATTTTTTATTTAAAGAAATATTTGAAACAAATCACAAAATGTTAAGAAGAATCAATTCTTAGTGGTGACAACATGGATATTTATTTTAATATCCTCTGGACATTTTTGTGTATTTTTCAATATTTCAATTAAAGATCTTAATTTAATTATCAATTTTAAAAAACACTGTATTCTACAGCTTCAGAACCTGAAAACCATACCTTAATTCCGAAATCATCATTTTATTTGCCTCACAGCAGCCAATGTAGTTGTCTTCCTTGTTTAACAAACTACTCCTCTGGTGCTTAGAAAAAGATGATTTAAAACCAAACATTTCTCTTTTTAACTGTAAGTTTAAAACAAACACATATAAATTTATAAAATGTATGATGCAATTGTTTTTTTATTCAGAACTCCAAGTCTGATGTGTGAATTTAATAGAAACAACCTAATATCCATCAAAAGGAGAATGTATAAGTACATTACGAAATATTAAGAAAATGGGAAAATTACAATAGGTAAATAAACCTGCATTTACATAAATCATTATGGAGACATCAGACAACATAATACTGAGTGAAAAACAACAGCAACCCATGTAGTATTTTCAAAGCACACTACACTACACACACACACACACACACACACACACACATATATATATGTGTATATATGTATATATATATGTATTTTTCCCCCTAGATGCATTTGTATGTGGCAATATTTAAAATATAGACAAGAAGGATATACATGAATTTCAGAATGGCCTCTACCTCTGAGGAGACGAGGAGAGAACTGGGATCTGACAAAGTATATAAAGAGGCTTTATTTACCTGTAAAATTTTATTCTAAAAATACCTGAAGTGGATAGTGTAAAATGTTACCAGATTTAGCAAATGCTGTGCTACAATAGTCTCTGTGCTTTTCTGTATGTTTGAACAACACAGAACCTTTTAAATTAGTTGTAAAAGGGGCAAGGTAAGCACTTAATGACCACTACTTTCAAACTATAACCAAATCACTTTCTAGAAATGAAAAAAATTCACATTTCCGAACTGTTATTCTTAGCACTGAATGAAACACAGGATCAAGTATATATTACCACACCACCTTCAGAATCACCTATCAAGTAATTCTTGAAACTGAGTCAAATGAAAATATCAATCTAAAATGAATGCTATCTGCAGCTGATTATTACCAAATTTCAAGAGTAAGCAGTGCATTAAAAATCTAAGCAAATTAGGGCCAGCCAAGTGGCTCAGTTGGTTAAGAGCGTGAGTTCTGAGCAACAGGGTCACCAGTTGAATTCCCACATGGGCCAGTGAGCTGTGCCCAAGCTGAGCTGCCGCTGAGCTGCCAACGGGTGGCAGGATGGCTTAGCTGGTGAGAGCATGTGCTCCTAACAAGGCTTCTGGTTCGACTCCCACATGGGATGGTGATCTACACCCGCAACTAAGATGGAACATGAAACCTTGAGCTGAGCTGCCGACGGGTGACCGGATGGTGACTGGACTTGGAGCTGAGCTAGCTGTACCCTTCACAACTAAAATGTAAGGACAACAACTTGGCTATTCCCCTTCCTCAAGTCCCCAATAAAATATTACCAAAAAAAAAAAAATCTAAGCAAATTAAAAAAATCTAAGCAAATAATCAGCATCCTAGAAAAGTAGATATAGCAGAGGACTGGCAACAAAGGATGTTTGCCACTTTCTGATATTAGTCAACTATTCTGCTACTAGCTAGTTTAATTCTGCTATTAGCTAGTCAGACAAGTTACTTACTTCCTTGAGTCTACTTTTCTCCACCAATAAAATGATGGTATTGAATCAGATGATTTCTAAGTTCCCTTTTATTGGGTTGTCAAAAAAGTCATGACGCATTTTTGCAACGAAAAACATAGAAAAAAATACGTCATGACTTTTCCAACAACCAATATGCTTCATATTTCCATGACACTTTAAAATTAGTAAAAGTCTACCATCCATACATATGTGACCAACCATGACACATTTATCTATAGCTTTCTCCTGATCTCACCTTTATTTTATATCTATCAAAATTTCTGACACAGATATTCCTAACCTCACTTATAAGTATAATCATATATATAACTCAAAGAGAAAAGATGGTTAGCTGCTATCATAAATACATTTTAATGTTCTGTGCCATTCAAATTAAGTACATGAAAAATTATTCAACACTCTTAAGTCATTAGGGAAATGCAAATAAAACCACAATGTTATAACACTTCACACCCACTAAGATGGCAGTAAACAAAAAAGACTGACAATAACAAATACTGTCAAGGATGTGGAAAAAGAAGAACACTCATACATTGCTGGTGAGGATGTAAAATGATACAGCCACATTGGAAAACAGTTTGTCATAAATTTACCATATGACCCAGCAATTCTACTCCTTAGCTAACTACCTAAGAGCAATGAAAACATGTCCACACAAAGACTTGTATGCAAATATTCATGGCAGCATTATTCATAATAGTCCAAAAGTAGAAACAACCCAAATGTCCATCTATTGGTGAATGGATAAATAAAATGTAGCATATTGATACAATGGAATAATATTCAACAATAAAGAGAAATGAAACACTGATATACATCACAAATACAAAAGACCAGATGCAAAAGACAATACAGTGTATAATTTCATTTACACGAAATGTCCAGAAAAGATAAATCTCTAGAGGCAGAAAGTAGATTAGTGGTTCCCTAGGGGTGAGGTGGGTACAGGGACTAATTATAAATGGGCACAGGGATCTTTTGGAGATGATAGAATTGTTTGAAAACTAGATTGTGGTCATTGTTCTAAAACCTGTAAATTTACTAAAAATCAGTGATGTTGTTACTTCAGTAAAGCTGTTTTTTAAATATTCTGTGCCATTATTATGTATGGCATCTGAGAGACTGAGAAAGGATGAAATAGCAGAAAGCACAAAAAAACAGGGATATAGAGAAAAGAAATTGATGACTGAAAATATAGACATGTAAGAAAAAAAAAGAAACACACAAGTTAATAAAGCAACCACAAGATGATGATCTCATATAAAGCACTTCAGTAAAATTTTCCTTTTCACATATACTTACTGGTAACTGGGACATAATTTTTTCCAGACTTCTCAGTTCCACCCTTGAACTTTCTATTTCTTGCTGACACAAATCTAGTCGCTCATTCTGTGTTGCAATACGGATCTTTAATTCTCTGTTTTCATTCATTACAGAAAAATTTTCTCGAAGTATTTCATCTTTGTCCTCTAACTCACTCTCTAGCTTCAAAATACTTTGTCTAGATTCAGTTAGCTGTGCCATGACTTCTGAGTTTTTCACTGCCATAATCCTTAATTTCTCTTTTCCACTGTTATTTTCTTCTTTTAACTGCCTATAAAGAAAAAAGCATGAAAATGAAAATAAAATATGTATTCATCTTCAATCATCATATTTAGTTAATCTCACTTTTAAAGTATTTTAAAGCTTAATTCTAAAGTAATACTTGGTCACATTTTCTGAGTGCCTATTTTCTGCATTCCAGCCACTCAGCTTTATGTGATTAGCATAATTATTACTCATTTACAGATGAGGAAATTAAGGAACAGAAAGGTTATGAAACTTGCCCAGTGTCTCTTATTGGGGAATTGGGGGATGGGAACAGCACTGGGGAATTGGCCGAAGGGGAACAGACAAGTTGCTGTCCTTTGGTTCTTCAGTCTAGTTGTGGAGGATGTTGCTTCACTGGCCCAAGTTGGCACCATCATTGCACTCTTCC